TAAATAATGGTATAAATAAACTCCCAAAGGATGAACAATGAAATGTGTTAATGCAACCCATTTTTAAAAGCCAGCTCTTACAAGCCTGATATAAAGGACTTTGTTCCAATGGGAGATTGCCATTCTATTTGAAACAATTCAAATTGTGATGGAAAATTAATTTTACTTTTCTGAAAAAAAAAGAGACGTTCTTCATAATGTGTCCTGTATTTTGATCAAGTCTAACTCACACCTTGAGGATTGTGGTATGAACCATTTCATGAGCCTGTAGTTTATTTACAGCATCTAGGTAGACACGGATCAGCTAGAATTCCAACAGTTGCTCTGCAGGAAATGTCCTCCCCCTTTGGAAGGAATGTATTCAATACATACATTTCTTTTTTCGGAAGTAAATTTTATATATAATGTAAGTAATTTAGGTAAACCTTAAACTTTAGAACAATTTTAGACTTAAAGGAAAAAAATTAAAATAGTCAGAGAGTTCTTGACTATCCTCCACTACTCTTTCTGAGGGGAGATTTTTTTGCTGTTGTTGTTAATCCTCACCAGAGGATATTTTTTCCTATTGATTTTTAAAGAGAGAGAGTTGGGGGTGGGGGAGGAGACTCAACCAACCAGGGCAGGGATCAAACCTGCAACCCAGGAAGGTGCCCTTGACCAGGAATCAAACCCATGACCCTTTGGTACACGGGCTGAGCTCTAACCACTGAGAAATGTCAGCCAAAGGGGAAATCTTAAAGGTAAGCCTGTGTCGGTGTTTTTTAAGCCAGAATTTTTAAAAAATCATTGGCAACCTCTAGAGCAGTAGTTCTCAACCTTCTGGCCCTTTAAATACAGTTCCTCATGTTGTGACCCAACCATAAAATTATTTTCGTTGCTACTTCATAACTGTCATGTTGCTACTGTTACGAATCATAATGTAAATATCTGATATGCAGGATGGTCTTAGGCGACCCCTGTGAAAGGGTCATTCGACCGCCAAAGGGGTCGCGACCCACAGGTTGAGAACCTCTGCTCTAGAAAGACTAGATATGAAGATAGAGATGAAAAGCTAAGGGTTGTATTTTGCATGCACTTAATTACCTTGTTTTACTGTCTAGGCATATCCTCCAGTGTGGTCATCTTTATTATACTCGTCATTATTTTCTGGATGATTCTAAAGCGCAAAACACGGTCAGTACAGCCATGGGCTTTGCAATCACTAAGACCTATGCTCATACTCACTCACTAGCTTTGCACCCTGGGCAAGGCACTTAGTCTTTCCTGGCCAGAAAAATAAGATAATAGTCGTACCTACCGCAACACAGTGCCTCTCTTATAATGAATGTCACAAAATGTTAGCTTTGTTATTTATACATGACAATTGTTACTGATATTTAAAAGTAATTAAATACTTCTTTTGCTATCAGTTCTTATGTACCTTCATGACAACTGCTACTGTCCATGCTAGAGGTATTGTGCAAAATACAGAACGTACATCTTCACTATGGGGGTGGAAGGAAGCCTTGTGTAAGATGGCAGCGCAAAGCCAGTTAAATGTCACAATCCTGTGGTACCAGTACTTCCTGATCAATGTCGCTGTGGAATAGAGAAATGTGTTGTTCTAAGGCATGGGCAGTTGTCTATAAGCAGGTTAGAGTTCTGACACAACCTATAGAATGGTTTTAGCATTGTTTTCTAATCCAAGGTTTTACTCAGTTTTGAAAAGTGTGACTTGGTTACATTTTTCTTTTCAGATGCCTTACAAAGATATCGGAAACCTGAGACAAATTATGCTCTAAATGTCCAAATGAAAGTCATTGATTACCTCCTTTCAAAACAAAAATGTATATAATTTAGTTATTTTTCTCATCTTTTTCTCCCCTGCCAATTAGCAATGATACAGATGCAAAATCTAAGGAAGTCAATATCCATTTACATGCCCAAGAAGGGAGCTGTGATCATGCACAAAGTCTGCAAACAAGTGAGGAACATAGCAGGTACCGAACACAAATTGAAATCCAAGTGCTTTCAACAACCCAAGTATCAAAATGGAAACAGGATTTAAATATGCCATTGTACCTGGTAGATCACTAATCCCAAAGCCGTTGGAGAGTACTTCAGGAGCTGGATACGCTGATGCTGGTGGTGTCTTTCTTGGATAATTGTTTCCAGTGACTTGGGGTGAGGACTCCGTCAGTGCTGTGCACGGGCACTGTTTTCCAAAGCATTCCTGTATTATTGTGTGTTTGTTATCGGTGGAAGTGGTGTTCTTGAGGTGCCCTGGGGGAAAGAATTTTATTGATGATGTAAAGTTAAGGGGGTTCCCTTCCAAGATCCCATCTATGTCAGCCCCACCATGGACGAAGTCCGAGCTTACCTTCAGCAGGGCTAGAATTAGGGATGCCAGTCTCCACCCCATAGGAAAGCACAGTCCAGTCCAGCATCCGCATGTGTGTCCACATGGCCATGGGCCACGTGGCTTCTAGGCCCATATGGCTATGGAGAGAGAACAGGCGAGCGCACGGGGCAGGTGCAGGCCATGAAGCGAGAGTGCTACAGTACCAGACCAGAACTGCACACGAGAGAGGGAACTCTTTGTCCTGGGATCATGTATTCCCAAATTTTCCCGAATTTGCATTGTGTCTACCCCACTAGCCAATCCATTGTTCCTCAAGCCAGACTGACAGGCAAGCCTCTTTTCTACATCAAGTGATGCCCTAAATTTCAACATGAAAGCTAGTGACTACCTCATTTCAAAACTAAAATGTATATAATTTAGCTGTTTTTCTCATCTTTTTCTCCCCTGCCAATTAGCACTAATACCTGCCTGGGCAGGGGAGACGCATTTGTTTTCTTCTATTATCAGGGGACTTTGATGGAAAAATTATGCAAAACTGATTCATAGCCAGCCATGCTACCACCAAATATAAACAGACTAAATAACCAGACCATGAGGGCAATGCTTGTCTTTATACAAATTTTTATTTAAAAATGTTCCAGAAGACTGCTTAAGATATCATTTGACTTACCCTATTCTTGCCAGGTGACCTGCCTAAAACACATTGCCACCTTCCTTCCAATCTAAGTTGCATGAACCCAGCTCAGAATTCACTGACCCAAGAAGCTCCCCCAGATTCCCAAATAACTCTAGTCCAAAGTGATGTCTCTCTTTAGAACTCAAAGCACTTCCTGTCTATTCCAATTTTTAAAATAAATTATTTTCTTTCAAGGATAATATATACTCATTGAAAACAGAAAATACCCAGAAACATAAAAATAATAAAAATCACTTGTAATAACTCTCCACCCAGTGGTGGTTAGTATTATTAAGCTACTTGGCATACTATTTTACATTTGCAAGGTTATACTTTGAGATTATATTGATGTGATTTTGGTTTCACCAAATGACAACCAATCTTCTAATTGTTAAAAACTGTATATGAATTCATCATACAGTATTCGGCTTTTCATTTGTTGTTTTTTACCCATTAACTCTATTGCATTCTTTCACTCATTCATTGATTCTACAAATTTTGATTAGTCACTGATCATTGTAACGGAACAATCAATGAATCCGGGCTGCCTGTCACTACTTGAGCCATTTCAGCAGACAGGGTTGAGTCATATAAGAGCATTTATTCCAGTAATGCCAGCAGTATGGGAGAGCAGCAGGTCATCCATAAAAATCTGCTCTGCCTCTCCCCATAATCCAGCTACGGTTAATATTTCTTACCATTAGAGCTGGTCCCCAATATTCTTTGTCTGCCCCTAACCTAATGCACCGCACCTTGTGCTTGTGTGTTTTCTCTCCCGGGCTAAATTAACTTACGTATCCATAAGGCCCATCGCTGTAAATGTCCTCAAATGTCTGAGTATAGACTTAATCAAATGAGAAGTGGACAGTATATATTTGAGAATCAATTTGCCTAAATGTTATTTATCCTCAACTGTTTGGAGACGTTCTTTTACCTCAAGGTGCATCTCAAGTTGTGTTTATTGACTGTTGGCAGCTTTTTTATAAAAAAGCTAGGAAATCCTTAATAAAGTTATGTCAAATTTTCATTTTTAAGATTGGGATTCTGGCCACAGGTGTTCTACAGGAGAAGGTTAATCGTTTGTAGACGAGGAGTGAGCTAGAATCGGTGCCAAGTGGAAAAGCTGTACACTCAGGTCAGGTGCAGGGTCAGAGAGGATACAGGTAATGAGGCAGACAGACTCCAAAGACACAGCCACGCGTTGGAACGCTTGAGAATGCTCAATGATGATGCAGCTAACACGATGTTGGGAACACTTGTGAGCTAGAAAGGGGACGGTGATGAAGGGTCAGGTGGCAATAATTACTGGGAGTGTCAGGTGAGCTGAGGGGAGTCTGTCCATTTGTGACAACACAGTGTTCCCGGCCTTAAGAAAGACTGGCGGAGGGAGCATTTGGACACCTTAAACTATGCAATACCTCCTTTCAATCTTGACTGTGACAAGGGCAGGAGGACAGGCTATCTGAAACTGCCCCACCCCCAAACTACCAGATTCTGTTTCCTTCCCCCTGCCGTAACCATGGTTCAGAAAGGAGACTAAAAGAAAGCTTTTGTGTGTTACAATGGACCTGTAGGTTTTCTGGAATAAGGCACTTTTTATTTAATTGCTCAACTCTGAGGACACTTTTCCTTTTACAAAAGGAAATGGGGAATGGTCAAGTTATTCATTCATCTCTTATCTACTAAGTGTCTCAGTTTATGCCATACTGTCTCGTGTCCTACATAGCTACCAGAACAGAGGGCAATGAACACTTCTTTTAAACGTGTAAGATATATGTAATGTCAGCATCATGATTAGCAGCATAGAAATTTGTTGACCCTGCTGTCATTTAAATAAGAATTCCTTTTATTTCAGTGTCCTTCCTTGACAACATACTATAAAGCTGAAGAACATCTCAAATGAAAATGCTCGTTGGAAAGGAGCCGATTCATTTCAACAGAATAAGATCTGAGACTCATAAAGTCCTGGAAGTGACCTCACAGAGCGGCCAGGGTGTGCACGTGGAGATGCTGGAGCTCTCCCAGTTCCTGAGGAAGCTGCCTCCTCAGAGTGTGGGTGCTGTCACTCCTCTTCCTTCTTTGTGCGGAAATGAAAGAACACCCTGTCCAGCCAGGGGAAGGTCTGCACTTAGAGCTTAGAAGTACCAGTAATCTCAGTTCCTTAAAAGAAGAAGTTGTCACCTAGGATTTCTGTCTATAAGTTTGTCATTTGTCTTTCATATTTTTAGTTATTCATATAGGTGATCTTGAACAATGTGGGGGTTAAGTGGTGCCATCTGAATGAACTTGCTGTTTCTGATTGGCCATTTGCTAAATCATGCATGCAACATCCCAGGATGCAGAGGGTCAACTGTATAGTTATTGAAAAATATTCAAGTGTAGTTATTGAAAAATATTCACCCGAGCAGTTCAGACTCTGTTGTTCAAGTGTTAACTGTAATATGGAATGGACTCAATAAAGAGAATTTGGAAAATGCAGGAGGAAGATATGAAAAAACAAGTAAGTCACATGTAATTATACTACCCAGGGGGAACGACTGCTAATGTTTTAATTCACTTTCTGCTCATTTTTCTTCATATATATGGGTCTTTATACACACATATGTTTTTCTTTCTTAAATACCTTCTTTTTTATTTGTGGAGCAGAATCTATTCCTTTTAGACATATTGGAGTTAAAGATATGTATATTTTCACCTTCTCAAAAAAATATATGTAATTTCTGTTTCTTAAAAAGTCATTAGATGATTATAGGAAAGTTGGCTTAAGAATACTCAGGAGAAATATTTGGGGGGGGGGGGGTAAGGTT